CATATATTCTTATATGTCCCAAGATGTACCTAAGTCTATTGCATCAGATTTCGCTTTGTCAAAGTCACATCTAAACTCTTTTAGATTATTGGAAGATGGTTCAATCAAGTCCCGTGCTTGGCCAAGATCAAATCAGATATTTGCGGATTACGTGACATAGCATTAGTAGCGATCAAAATGTTTGAATGCAATACAACTTGGAATACAATTCCGAATGTCTCCATTTCTATGCATCTGCTCGCTCAGATGTACTTCTGCTTGTTAAGATTATTTTTCATAAAGCTTGCAAAACAGCGTATCTGATCTGAATCACCAAAAGGGAATGACTTATTTCTTCTAGACAACCTACTAGGACACCTAGGGACCTACTAGGACGCTTCAGTTTTTGGTCTGTCCAACTTTAAATAAAGTAATAAATAATAGGGGCCCCAGTATGTCAAATTACAAATTAAGAAAACATCTTCGCGTCCTCAAAATAAAATACATAATTCAAACCAGCATGGTTCAAGCTTCCTACTAGTCAATCTACGGTAACAAACATCACTTTCTAAAGGAACCTTTGATGTGTATTCAGGTAAACAAAAAAAATGCATTTGGGGGCCCCTTGTGTCCGGGAACTCCATGTAATTGCACCGACCGGCGACAGTTACGCCAGTGATTCTACTTCTAGCCATTGATGCAGCCCTTTACATGGTGAACGCTATCAAGGTTTGGAGCTACTCTACCCTAAAATGATACATGTGACATGCATTGCACATGCACTAAATAGAGTTTCGAAAGAAATTCGTGGACATTATCCTGATGTAGATAAATTAATTTCTGCAGTGAAGAAAATATTCATCAAATCTCCATTACGAGAGCAAGAAATCAAGGAAATGGTTCATTCGATGTCATTGCTTCCCCTACTTATTATTACACGTTATGGCACGGGGCATAATGCCGCATACTACTACAGTACCAATTAAAAACCTATAAGAGAATAACACATTCAAAAAAGGCGAAGCTGCCTCCATCAAAACCGCAATTATATAGACTGTAGATATAAATAAATCTATAAATTCTTTCTATCTTGGCAAAAACGGGAGATTGCATTTTAATTAAAATAATTTATTAATGTATATTTTAAAATATGTATTGTACAGTTATGTATACATTTTTGTGATCATTATAAATTATAAAAACTTTGGATATTTCGATATATGATTCAATGCATCATTGAATTAACAGTTCGAACCGTTCAAATAACAATGAAGATGGTCATTTCTGTGTTCAACTAATTTAATTAATAACATTCAATAATAATCAATCAAATAATTAACAAAATTGAAAACAACGTATGTAATTCCAGGACATCTAACTTAAAGCGTTAATATAAACAAATATTTTCGTTTACAATAGCGATACAATCCCCCCCCCCCAATAAAAGACCTGAAATCCTGCCTCAGATTTCTATTCTCATCACATATATATATATATATATATATATATATATATATATATATATATAGTACGGAGTTGTTCTACAGCTGTCGCCGTTTCTCCGCTCTCAGTCTCCATGCCTCTCCTTATTGGCATAGGCAAGATTAAATATTTTGGAACTAAAAATTGAAAACTCTGTAACAATCGTTCCATTATGTACAACTAGCAAATTACTCCACAATGCTGTTAGGATCTCGTTATGAAACTTTCATTTCCTTTAACAGTGAACTTTCTTGACATCAGTAATATTTCGCTAAAATGGATTTCAACTTTCTAACTAATCAGTTGCGTACTACTTTATCTGACAGTAGATCCTCTTCCTGTTTGTAATTCTGTGGTTACCTTACACTCCTCATATTTACTTTACACACTACAGCAAGAAGCAGGACTTGTCCGCCCAACAAATATTATGTTAATGTATTAATTAAATTAATGTAAGGGATGTATATTATATTAATTTATATTTTTGTGATTTTGAATGTGGTAAAATAAAATTAGTTTGCAAGCAATCAACAAATCCTCCATTTAATCACAAAAAGTTACAAAAAAGGACAACACCGCTCAGAAAACTCCTTAACTATTTTTTACCTCAAAAAATATTCTGATTTATAGTTGGCAGTGCAGTTGCGTCCAAAGTTGATATTTCACTTCAAGTATTAAAAAAAACTAATTTCCATTTTAAAGTTTGGCTTTACATTCTAAAAAATGTATAGCAATAACGTTGATCACATCATCGGACAACGCCCAAACACCCATGTGTAAATTTATTAAAACACTTGAAAGACCGAAATGTCTAACGAAGAGAAGGAAAAAAAACTTAATGAATTAAAACTTATTTCTTCAAATCTTTCAATACATCCAAAATACATTGATGATTCATAAACTTTGTGTTTTCCCTCGCATGCATTCCTTGTTTATTCGTCCCCCTTAATTTCGATGTAACAAAAGAAGTTTGAAAGCAAGGAACAGTAACAATCGAATTCGCCATTCTGTATGAGCTGATTCTAATAATATCACACATACGTTTAACATATCGTTAAAATTCGTATTAAGTTTATATTTGCTTCAGTTATTATGCATGTTCTAATAACAACAAACTTCCAAATTTAGAATACAAACAAAATTTCTTTTCGCCAACCCCGCATCACAATTTTCCTCACATTGAATTTTAAGCCCGCAAAGGGGAGTGTTAAGAAACCCTCTCGTCATAGCAAACACCTTTGTCCCCTCGCCGTCACCATCCCTGGCATCTTGGCGTGGAACGCTTCCGGGTGAAGGCTTCCACCGGCACGCCAGCAATTCCACTTTCTCAGCTCTCCTCCGCGGCAGATTGCATCGAAAGTGGAATGTATGGCACGCACAGTAATCTGAAGAAATACTTCAAACCTATGCCTAACTACTCGCCTCTTCTTCCTTAACTACACACATACATAACTACCTGATATTCTATCTTATTAAATTTTATACAGTTTTAAAACGAAGAAAGCAATTTTTCTTAAATATTGCAGCGATGCTGTGGTGCTGTAATTGGTTTGTTGGCTAGTGGTTGAAAAAAACTGAAATGTTTGTTTAGAATGTTGTTCTGAAATGATAAATGGAAACTCAAAATTTAAAATTGCATAATAATCACCTTACTTTAAACAGATATTCGTATTTGAAGTGCCTTTTTAAAAGAATACAAGAACGTACAATCTTCGAATTTAGTGTAATGTGCTACATCAATTAGAAATTGCTAAAAGACGTTCGTTACATTTTTAATGTACTAGAAGAAACATGACAGATAAGCAAGCAAGCGTATTGGAACGTAATGCATCTAATGTTGGGACATTACGTTGCTGCCTTGATTGTGTCCTAGATTAAAAGTAGTTTTCAGTTTTGATAAGCAATGACGTTATGTAGGAACGGTAGTTCATAATTTGAAGCAAACTCATAAGTTCTCAAAATAATCTCTGCCCACGAATTTCAAATGTACTGAGCAAGAATCAGATTGCACAATTCATGTGAATAATCCCCATCCTTCCCAAAAAATAAACATATTTTCTAGAATTTAAAGTATTTCTTAAACTTGTTCAGAGAGTCTGGAAAAAAATAATCGATGGTGAATTTAAAGTGAACACACTAAAACTATTTGACATCGAAGTTGAATACTCAAGTAATTCTGAAACAATTTAAAATCGGACCAGTTTTAGGTCAGTGTCAAAAAGATACACAAAACGTCACCCATGTCTATTTCCCAACTATCTGACTGCAAAGCAGAGTGAGTAAATTCGTCTTTCTTGCACCGGTGATTCATGGCTCGACACGCCCGTCTAGTGACGGGATCTGATGTGCTGTCCCGCAGCCAACTAGAAAGTCTGTCGTGGGAGGGTACATATCGACCGGCGCAATCCTCACTAGAGAGGACAAATTCATCGAGCAATCGAACCATTTTATTACAGATAGATGCCAAAGGCATAATGCTAAGGATGAATAATTATCATTCACTAGAGACGCCATATTCCGTCGTTCCGCCAGTGGCTCGGAGAAAGTCCCGTAAAGAAATATATATGGATGGTAGGCTAGGCAGAGGCCCGGCCAGGCGACGATGTCAAGAGTTGCTATTTCTTGTGAGACCGACCACAGAGCTCCTGGTGCTTGTACAAGGAAATGGGCAGCAAAGGCGCCTCATTTGATTGCTTTGGTTAAGATTACTTTTTCTCAGATATTGTGAATCGCGGTTAAGAAAAGTGATAGATACAGGTTTTTCTTATAAAGATTAATAGCTGATGATTAATTGGACGCAGAATATAATTCTTTACTCACAATTTTATTGCATTTCTCCATCTAATTTCCTTTGACAAATAAATGTATAAGAATTTCATATGAAAGAAAATAAAACCTGCATGCAAGCATTTATAATTTATCGGCTTTTCAATTCGATTGACCATTATAGTACAGTTGTGAAAGTTAAGTATGAAATTAAATACTTATAGGTTGCTGTAAGCTACTAAGAACTGAATTCATGTTTCTGTTATTCAGTAATTGTAGTACTTGATGTCTTCTTAAAAGCACATTACAATAATTCAAAATCAATGTATCTACAGTGTAAATCTGAAATAAATTGTTTAGTGATTTCAATCAAGTTTTAGGGTTTGAAATAAAATTTTATTTCTAGTGCAGATTACTTTTCTACAATTTCGTAAAAAAAAGCAGGAAGGCATACTACCTATATACCTTTAAAATACATGATTTTCAAGGATTCATCATTTCAAGTGTCTCAAACTAGGAATAGAAGAAAATAGTAATTAATATAGAAAAACAGTTTTAATTGTTAATAAAAATTAAAAATAATATAAATTAAGAAAATTATTATTAAAATTTAATATTATTCGCAATTTGAGAAAAAATAGAAACTAACAAGTATTGTCTCTTCCGTCAACTGCATTTTTGTTTGATGGGTGTCGGGTTCATTTTCTCCCCCACTAATTGTTCAATATGGCTTTCAGTCGGCAGAGGAAGTGCTGCACTCTGGCGATATTAGCAGAAAGCTACAGCGGCGACGTAAGGTTCGTGGGTGTAGTGACCGCCAGGCAGTGGCTGCTCTGAGAGTTGTCGAAAGTTGTGTGTGGCAGTGCGATTAGGGCGTATAGCAAGGCGAGGCCGTGTTGAGTTTCTTTGGTGCCGAAATAATTTTTAAGCTTCTGCAGTGTTGAATGCGGTTATAACTTTTGAATTGCTTTGGAGTTTGTACCTTGAATATTGTTTTTAGCATTAGATAGTATTGCGACAGCAATGGTTGTAAAGGTATACATTTCAGGAATATCTGGAAATAAAGAGGTAAAATGTCCGTTTTTTTATTTTGTCATAAATGTTCATAAAATTATTTACTGTGTGCAGAAGGGTTTGTGAAATGTTGTGTAGAAGCGTTTGGATCATTATGTGTGGGACTTAAAATTAAATTCATTCTATTGCATGAAAGCCAATAACATTAAAGAATATTGATTTATAAATTGTTTTTACCATTATTATTGTGGTCTTTCCAACTTATTTACAGGTGAAAAAGCATCAACAAAGAGTTATGATGATTCTTGACAGCAAGAATATTGAATATGTGGTTGTGGATATAACAGAGCCTGGGAAAGAAAGTGATAAAGAATTCATGCAAAAAAATAGCAATGCTAAAGATTCAAAATACCCATTACCACCTCAGATGTTCAATGAAGAAGAGTATTGTGGGGTGAGAAAATTTGTGAGGATTTGCATCTCTGAAATATGCATTTCCTGAGTTAATGATGGTAATTTACTGCTTCAGGATTATGAAGACTTTGACTTAGCGAATGAAGTTGATGACCTTGAAAGATTCCTCAAATTGTCTCCAAGTGTTTCAAAAGCTGAAATTACATTGGAACCCTCAGCTCCCGCAGCAGCACCAGTAGCTGCAGCAGCAGCAACAGAAGCAGAAGAAAAAGCACCTGTTGAAAACGGTGTTAGTTCCAGCAGAGAGGTAAATTATTCCATAAGAAAGTGGGATTCACTTTTTGTACATTCTGTGAACCTTGTTGTAAAATAGGATTTACTTGTGCAGAATTCTTCAGAAAAAGAAGTTGCTCCCAAGAGTGAAGAACAAGCAGATGGAGATGCAGCCACTAAAGATGAAAGTGAAGAGGCGAATGAAGAAGAGTAATTGTCATTGGAACAGGTGTCATAATGTTTGTCCTTGGTTGGTGCGTTTCTGAATCTGTGGTTTTTCCTTATTAAGGTTGAATTACATTTAATGGAGTGGATTGCAAGACAGTTTTTCCTCAGAGAGAGTGCTTATTATATTGGTTTAAATTTACTGTAACTTCCAGTAAATTGAAAGACTGGACCTTGTTTGATTTTTCACTAATTGTCCTCAAACTGCCTATTTTAAATCTTTTATTAAAGTTTGTAATATAGGAGCAAGTTTGTGTGATTTAAAAATACGTAGGAATAAATAATACAACCTCAGTGAAACATTACATACATATAATGTATCGTGGGGCTAATAATGGTGGAATTTTACGGATTCATGTTCTTGAGAATGCATTACTTTCAAACATTATGGACTTTGTTAAAACAGCAAAATTTTATTCATAAGTTAGAACCATTTGCAGTGTGTATTCTCAAGTTTTGTATTACGTAAAAAGTTCTATTTAGAAAAGAACTTACATCAATAGTTTTTTGAACAATATACTGCGTTTTATACTGTGCACCATACTTGTTGAGCATACTCTTGATACATTCAAGAAGTTGACAACAATTTATACGTTGCACTAATAACATAAAACAATTTCTGGTAGCAAACGTTTTGCTAGTTTCATGCTCATTAAAATAAATTCTGGTGCTACTATTGAATTCATGACTTACTATTAGTGATCATTTCATGACTAATGATGTCGTACAGGAAAGTATGATAAAATCATAACTGTTTTATTTGCTTTTGTGTTCTGCAATCATTTGACTAACTCAGGCGATAGTAACATTGGCATACTTTTTTCTTGTTTGTTTCATGCAAGGGATTTGAGAGGGAGATGTTTCTAAGATGTATCTCTTTTTAGTGTTATTAATTGCAGGGTGAAATCATGAATTTCACCTTTGCTAATTCATATGTTATGAGAAAAATGGACCAAGGAGAGAAACAGGATGTAATGTAAGCATGTACAATTCCATTGGTGATCATTGTCATCTCTTCATTGCCAATTCGTGTTGTGTTCAAGCAGTAGAACATAATTGTTTATTGCCATCAACTTAGATGTCTCTAGTGGCAAGACTGTAATAAACTCCCCTTTTTAAATATTCTGTGGTTCTTAATTTCAGTAGTTCCAATGAAGATTTGTTGCTGGAAAACTGCTTGCGGAGCTAAGTAGAGGAGGATACTGAACACGTAAAGTGATTTTGTGGTGGTTATATTCTCTGTATTTATGTCAAGGGAGCTTGGTAATTACTTTTTGCCATTCTTATGTTAATCATGCCAACTTGGTTAGATAAGTCACTGGGTAAATTCCAGTCACTGCTGTTATTTGCTTTGTGGAAAATGCCAAGATAGTCATAATGCAGTAAATTATATTTGCAACAAATTAGTAGACTCATTTGCAGAACATAAATATATAATGTTAGAATTTGAAAGCTTTATTTTTTCATTGTGCATTTGTTAGCTCTCTATAGGAGAATTTTGAATGCCAATATTATCAGTTAGCCTTGAGTGGAGAAACTTGTGATATACACAAGTGTTTTTTGTAATCGGTCTTTGGTCTACAAGTGGATTTGTTGTACCTTACCAACAAAACTGCCCTTATGCAATTTTTGAGAGATTTTTTAATTTCTATTTTGGAATGTAATTTGGTATTGCACTGAATTTTATATAAAGATCACATCTCAAAATCCAAGCATGTCATTCTTTTATCTTACAAATTGTTAATGACTTTGTTTTCTTAGTGTGGAATACTAAAGTATCACAATAATGTTAATCAATTGTACCTTTCAATTTATTGTTCAAGAGGTTAGGTGGTAATTTGTTATGTGGTTTTGAAGTGTTTGCTGTATTCAGATGAATTGATAACCAGTTTCAATAATTCTGAAGTGAATTTTAATATTCTAAACTTTGCAAAGATATAAGAATTATTCCCCCTTGAGCGTAAAGTATCATGTATTGTTAATGATGGCCTATTTCAGTGTGTTCAGCAAACCCCCGTGAGTTCTATCACTTAGATGCTACAATTCCACTTGTTCAGTTCAACAACATTGTATTTGACAGTTCTCTTGTGAACGGGAATGTTCATGTATATACCATATTTAAACTGAATCTTAAGAGATGATGTGTTCATATTGTTCATAATCTTTCATTAGTTATTGGATGCTTTTTTATTGCTTATTTGAAAGTTAAATATTATGCATCAGAATAAATATATCATGAATAAAAATTGTTGTTTCCATAGTTATTAGTTCAAAGAAACAAAGATACTACTAGTGAGTAAGTGACTCCTTAGTTTCTATTGCGGGTTGTCAGAAACCATTGTTTACACTTGTTCTCCTTTGAGTAGCCAAATCTGGGAGTTGTTCCCAAATTACGTGGTGTTTATTTGCTGAAAAGTTGATTTAATTACCTAGGGTATGTTTGTTCAGACTAAAGTTCCTATGTAAGCGTGAACTAACATTCTTATTCTTTCTTTGTAAATTTTATCATTTTATCTCTTTTCATTTAGATTTGGATTAACTAATACTCTTATTATTCTCTTTAAATTTTCAAATATATGAGAAATGCTGAAGAACTTTAGGACTTAATTTGTGATAGATTATTATTATTATTATTGATATAATCACACCTACATTTAAGTCAAAGAAATCCCTAAGACTTGAAAATTCATAAGAGAAATCACATGAGCATTCACAAATCCTTTATTACTCATTAAATAAAAGCTTAAGAAATGTGTATATTGCTAAAAAGAATGTTAACTGCTTCTGAAACAAGTCTTATTTTGTAGTTCAAGATGTATAGACATCATCAGTTTGTAAGACACTTTATGCAAGTTTCATTTTGTTTTAATGAGTCATTTTTATATTGCTTTTACTGTAAATGAAAACGGCAAAATTATAATGAAAGTAGATTTGGATAGTTTTCAAGTGTGAGAATTCTTATCTTTCCTGTTGCTGTGATATTTTTTATCAATATTTAACTGTTATGAAGACATTTAATAGATTATTTTACTGGGAGTCTAAGAGAAGATTTCTGTGCATAGTATTGTGTTAGAAACATTTCTTATATATATTTTGTTCTTGTGGAACTCATTTAACTTCATTTCTGTACTGTGTGGTTGCAGAGACTGTACAAATAAAATGCATACTTGTGATTTGATTGTCTTTTTTAAATTGAAATAGATGGGAATGTATTTAAAATTCAACATGTAATTGAAATTCTAAATTTCAATTTTTTTCTGTTTGTAATTCAGAATACTTGATTTGCATACAGATTTTAAGTTCTTAACGTGACTTAAAACCTTTAAATACAAGGGTATTGTATGAAAGATGATAGCAAATATTTGTCATCATCATTTGGTTGTAAATATTGTTGCAGTATTTGTTTTTATTGTGTTTGAATTTTGAATAAGGGTTTCAAAACAAAATTCGTTGTTGATAATAACTTTTGTTAATTATTGTGGATCTACATTCCAACAGTGCATTTCGATAAATATACTCTATAATTTTGACAAATTGCACATGTGTGATATAGAATTTGTTTCATTTCTTGAGAATGTTTCATTCCTTATTTTAGTTTCTTGTTAATTAATGTCAAATGTCTGTCACTACTTAAATTTGTTATTTGGTCTATGAATTTATTATGGACAGATCAAATTGTAATCTAAAGGAGGTTATTCTTGTTCGCGACTAAAGCAGCATTATGTAAATCATATGTGAAATTTACATGATGCAGTTTTATTTGTGAACATGAAAAACCTTCTATAGTTTACATCTTGGTCTATCGGTAACTCTGTGGCGAAATAACAGTTGTGTATTTAGTCTTGTGCTAGAAACTAATTTGTTTGCTCAAAGCCAGTTAGCGTAATAAAATTTAACACATTTTGCAATTGTGTTCAAGAAAAATTTCACAAAAATGTTTAATCTACTGTGTTGTATGTTATTGGTTTTACATGATCTGCGAATGTGAATTATTCAGTAAGTTGAAAGTAATAATGGAAAGTTTATTTGGACATAGATCAATAACTTTTTCAGCGTGCAAATACAAATTAATGCCATCCTTCATTCATTGGATTTAACACATCTCCAAATTTTCTTTTTCAAAACTATTACTTTTGTCGTCAGAAAATTCATTGTTCATTCTAAAATGTTCTTATTCTACGTCGTGCAATCGGGTGCAAGTTTCTTGCCAAACTTAACTTGCAGTTGGATTAGGCGCACTGCAGTGTTCAGCCAGCAATGGCCGAGCCCAAAGCGTTCGGAAAGCAATTGAGAGATCGAATAGTGGGGGACCCTGACTGAGAAGCGTCTGGATTTATATGTGGAGCTTCACCCGCCTCGCAGTACTCCTGATTGTCTCGGCGACGACTGGTCAAGTGCCAAAGAATCTTACGCTACAGTTCGAGAAACTTGGCATCCCATGTCTTCTGGCGGCGCAACAAATGCGACCTTCGATTGCTTCCTCATTGTACATCGCACTTTTTTTCAGTTGAAGTGAAGTGACAATTTTAAAAGAGCCCACCCAACATTGTATTTAACCGCAAAATACGAATGTGTTGACCATATTCTTAATTTTCCGCAGCAGTGGATAAATTTCAATATTAAAATCCATTCAATAAAATGAGAATTTAAACAAAATGCATGCGCCTGCATTTTATTCTTTATAAAATTTATTAAGATTTTTATAATTAAATTATTTAAATATTTGTATTATTTATTATTAAAATACTTTTAAAATTAATTTTTTTTATTCTTTATAAATTATTTTATTCTTTATATGTACTTATCAAAAATCAGTGTGTTGTGTAATAAGTATCCGAATGTATGTAACAAACATTTTCAGCGTGTAGTAAATGTTAGTTACTTTTAGGCATTTCAACAGCTTTACACGTACTAATGTTTTTCTCATAGCCGATGAATTAATCAGAATTAAAATTATTTTGTGGTTTACTAGTGTATTGCAGGGTTTAGTCCTGAAACAAACTCGTAACGGTATTGTCTTTGCCTTCTGATTCTGTATGACCACGCATGCCTTTTGAATACTTTTGTTGTTGCTATTTAAGGTCGCATCAACATCTAGGTCATTAGCAACCACTATTGCATTTAACGGTATGGTAACTGTGAAGATGACATAGTATGGTGATGATAGGATATGAAAGGACAAACACAAATATAACCATGCCCGAAGCAGGACTCGAACCCGCGATCGCCACGGCACTACTGCCGTAACGTTTTCGCCATCCGGATCGGTTTTGAATACTTTATACTCGTTCTGCTACCAACCCACCAAACAGAGTTGGGTAAAATACTTCAAAAAAAGTATTTCAGATACAAAATACTTCCTCGAAAGTTTTAGATACCAAATACACTTCCATAAAGTATTGTAGATTAAAAATACTATTTTGAATAAAGGACCAATAGTGATCAAGTTTCACATTTGATTTCTTATGATTTACAGTTGTAGTCAATTGTACACGTTTCCCTTCAGCCCTACTAGTTTTTCAATTATGGTATCATTAATATTTCCTGTAATTGATAATAGTCTCATTCCATTAACAACTAATTTTGTAGCAAAATCATACAATTTTGTTTGATCATTTCCTTTTTCCTTGGCATTTACGAAACCAGATGTTAAACTTGTTCGTTTTAATTTCCTGACATTAGTATCACTATTTTCAGTGCTTTTCATTTTCCTCCTAAGTGAATTTGATCTTCCTTACCAGGGATGTCCAACATGAAGGGCCTCCAGGGCCACAATTGAAACCCTTATCGTGGTTGCGGGCCACATTTTCATTATTTGGGCGAGTCACATCTGACTTACACGCTTTGTTGATCTCGGCAATTTGTTCGGCTGCATTACGCATTACGCAGGGAAACACATTACACGATTTTGAATTTCTGAATTTACTAGAAAAAAGTTCTTATCTAAAATATATAAACTTAATCAATTTTGACATTGACCCTTACAAGGCACATGCTGTAGGCGCACCGACTTGCAGGCAAGGCACTTCCACTTTTGACTAATGACGTTTCGCTGGCCGCTAGTTGAACAACCCTGTTCTAGACCAATCATTTTTAGTTTCCCGTATACGTACGTATGTATGGAGTAATATACGTAGTATAGGAAAGGTTATGTAATGCCGCGGAAAATCAATTTCGAGATTTAAACGGAAATACACGTTTTGGGGTCCTCAGATACCGAAAAAGTTCTTTTTTTTTCAAAACGTCCCCCCGTCCGTCTGGTGTCAGTGAACATTTTCACGGTTATCTCTGAATTTCCGAAAATTTCATATATCAAAAAAAATGTGTCGTCTTCTTACAACTATAAAATGAAGATAGCAATTTGTCCTTAAAAAAATAAATGGTTTTCTGTATGGTGAGTTCTTTCAGTAAGGCATGTACAATTTTTTGAAAATTTTAGTTGTTTTCGTTCAATATTGCGAGCAATATGTGCAATTTTAAAAAATTACAAAAAAAAATTTCCTCGAAAACGGCACTACAATTATGAAGATTAGCCCTCAATGAAATCTGTTCCATAAAGATAGATTTTGAAATAATCTCATGTACAAATTTTCAAAAATTTGCCTACTTTTCGCGTAATTTTGCGAGAAAATACGGACGAGAAAGTGTGATATTTTAGCTCCACTAGTTTCAGCTGCGGCAGCAACGCGCCGGGTACCTTCTGGCGTATGGCACATTGCACTTTCCCGCTATAATAAAAATTGATAACTACTATCAATTGTGATTTAGTAAATCTAAAGTGCGTTAACTTCTCTGATCTGTCCACTTATTGTTCATCATAGTAAAACTTTAATATAAAAGTTGTCAATTTTTTTGTCGAAGAAAAATCATTAGTTTGTATATGAAACTAATTGGTATGCAATACAATTCAGCCAATGCAATGCAATGCAATACAACAGCCTCAAAAATTGGCAACAATTCTAGTTTACCAAAAATAATGGAGGACTGACCGATACAGGAGCCGGGAGGACTTCAAAATTGTTAGCTCAGATACCGAAGACCTGATCATCGTAACCTGTAAGTTATAGATTGTTTAAAAAATACATGTCAACCTGAATGACCGAGGTGGCTATGAGCGTGTGCCGACGCCCACTTTGGTTCGAAGGGTCGCGGGTTCGAGTCCCGTCTTGGGCATAGTTGTTTTTCCCTTGTATCTCAAAAATGTGTTGTCGAAGAGGGCTTCTGATCAGAGGAGTCCGCAAGTGTGTAGGTGTCTAGTGTATGGTCGAATATGTGTCCCATCGGGACGTAAAGGGTAACCGGCTGGGGAAAAGCCCTTGAAAAAATACATCTACTGCACACGAAACATGTTTATTAATTTCACCATGTAAGCACTTTTTGCAATAATAGTTAAGAATATTTTTACTTAATAACAACTTACGTAATATTATAAATGTAATAAATGTCGAGTTATTGGTGTTAATAATACATGTCGAGTAAAAAGTGATACAAATGTAGCCTCCAAAATTTGTCGTTTTCAGCACGATAGCAATGATGTCTCTAACGAAGTAAGGGCGAAGAAGTAAAAAGTGGTTCAACAAGTTCAGAAAAAAGTATTTTTTCTCTCTGTTCAGGAATCTTGCGAAACATTGCATGCAGACGTACTCCCGCGCTGCCCGGTTCTGCGGTGTCTGCTCTTTCGTCGGGACGCCGTCGGAGAGCGTCAGTAGCTTTCCAGGAGCGATGTGTATCTTGTGTCTCTTCATCCTGAGTAAGAAGAACGTTTGAGATATTATTTCTCAGGTTGTTGAGAAGTTTTGCAATGGGTGCTTATCAAAATATGGCGGTATGAAAAATTATTTCGATGTTGCAACATTTCAAGAATGTTATGCAACATTTCAAAATGTTTGTGAGACATTTTATTGATCGACGTATATATTGAATCTAGGAATGAAGCCATAATATTAATTTTTTAAACTTAATATTTCATTGATTTTTTTCTTACATCCTTAATTCATAAACATTCTTTAATATCCTTCATTATTTTCTAACTCGGAATTTTCGATCTGTGTATTTTTTTAAATTTATTTTCTTTTGGATTGGGTTATACAAAGATCAGTTTTAAACACTCTCCATTTCTTAAGGTTGCTTAAATCTACTTATAATTAATTTACAATAAACTTACTACTAATCTTAAAATACAACTTACACTACTACAAGAGTGGTAGAGGTATCTTCATATGATAACTCTACATTAGGTCGAGATCTGAAAATTTATTGAGGACGGTATGGAACGGAAATTTGTTTTTGATGCGGGTTCTGTGGATTGGGTATATTTGGAATGTTGTGGAAGAAGTGGGTGGATAAAAAAATAATGTGGTTTGTTACCGATTCTAACTGGAATTCCTTATGAAGTTGTGAATTGGAGATGAACCATGGTGCATTTGTGATGGTGCGGAGGAAGTGATTTTGGACTATTTGCAGTTTTCTGGCATTCGATTTGGCTGCGCTGAGTTTTGTAAATCAATAAGGCGGTATTGTACGGTAATTTAGCAGATCTATTTATTATTGGTTTTAGTTCGTGTTATTTAATTTTTGCTTGTATAACTTTATTGTCGATGTGATGTTTCCAACTTAGTCGGGTATCTAAGAAAAGGCCTAGGTATTTTATGGGTTTGTTATGAGAGTGCGATTGTACGCGTTCTTGGTTCAATTGTAAGGAGGTGGGGGGATGTAAGGTCTTAAGGAAAATATTTTGGCTGCAATTTTGGACGGGTTGATTTTAATTTTGTTTTTGGTTGCCCAGTTGTCGATTTGGTGTAGGTATAACTGCAGATTGATTTTTATTGTGTCTATGCAGGGACCTGAAGAATATATAGCGGTGTCACCTGCAAATTGGGCGGTTTTCATATTGCTGTGTTTTTGTAGGCCAGCTACGTACTAGTTATAAAGAGCGGGAGATAACGGGGAACCTTGGGGAAGGTCTGCCTTGACTGCTTTTGAGTTAGAATGATGGTTATCGACTATAACAGCAAACGTTCTATTGTTGAGTAAGGTAATGTGGAGTACCTATTTTTTTTATTTTGTAGTTTAAAGCTTGGATCCATGTTCTATCAAAGGCCCGAGAAATGTCGAGAAAGATTGTTATTGCGTGATAGTGATTTTGAAATGCCATATGGATGTTTTCAGTGATTCTGAGAAGTTAGTGACGCGTGGACACTTTTTCGGTAAATCCCATTTGTTCCATGGGTATGGCCTTTGTGTTAAGGTGTGCTTTAAATCGTTTAAATATTATTTTTTCTAATAGTGTAGATAGCGTGGGAAGCAAACTGATATGGCGGTACCTTTTGGTTAGAGATGCATTCTTATTTGGTTTTTGCACCGGAAGAATGATTGCATGTTTCCATAGTTGCGGAAAATAACCAAGTCTCAGACATGAGTTGAATATATTGATTATATATGCAATGGCTTTTTGGGAAAGGTTTTTTAATATTAAATTGATAATTTTATCATGTCCCGGGGCTTTTTTGACTGGTAATGATTTAATGATTTTATTTATTTCTTTAGGTGATGTGAAGTGTATTTTATGATGTGGACCGTATGTCTGTTCGTTTGCTGTTTTGCTGATTGTGATATGACTAGGGTGCTGTTTAGTATTAATTAAAGTAAATATGGATGCGAAGTAATTTG